GGGGGGGGGGGGGGGGGGGGGGGGGGGGGGTCACTGCCTGCTGGTTGTCTGCCGCAGGACAGAAGCTGTCAGCTGCGTGAGAACTACTTCACTGCAGGATCCCACTCAGGAGACCCAGAAACTAGTCGCTGTGTGTGTGTGTGTGGGTGTGTGTGCGCGCGCTGTGTGTGTGTGTGTGTGTGTGTCTGCGTGTGTGTGTGTGAGATAGAGAGAACAAGAGACAAAGAGGCTGAGGAGACAACATAAAGAGGCAGCAGCCTCTTTCACAAATGCCTTCTTAAGCTGGCACTGATGCATTGTGTCATATGTGAAAGTGCAGAGGCAAAAAGAGGAGGGGGGGGCCACTGCTCCACTAGCAAGTAAGGTAGTAACATATTTTACTCACACCTAGAAACTCTGAGCAGTGATTCTGACTGGTCAGGGCAAAGGTAAAATGAAGGGTTTGAACAAACTACTGTAATTAATTGCAGAGGTGTATGCGCATTTCTCTCAATTTTTTTATCGCTCTGTTTGTCGCTGCAGTTTCTTTCAACACAAAAATGTTTAAGGTAGTAACTGTTGAGTTGTGTTGTGAGTTGTGTCTTCAACATTTAATTTCAGACTGCTCAGATATGTTTGACTTATTTTTCATTATAAATCAGCATCTGCTAATGGAAAAAAACAGAGGACAGAAACAGTGTCTTTAAACTACTTCTATATTTCCAGACCTTGAATTTGATGAAGTAGGTGTAGATAATTGATTAATGGGTGGTATTTTAATTAGCCTGATTCGCAACGTTTTAAAGGTTTTTATTCTCTTTCTGCTTGCTTTTATTCAAAGAAAACCCAAAGCGCATATCTTTGTGATTGTTCTGTATAATTATCAATTTTTTTATGAATCCATTGTCGGGGAATCGGGGAATTTGCTGAATTATTTTACGCCTCAAAACTTAATCATTTCTCAAAACCGATCAGAAAAGGCTGAGAAGATTTTTTTTCTTTGTTCCTCTATCTTTAGTTGTGTTGTCTGATGTGGAGCATCGACAGAAATGGGGCTGAGCGCGGCACGCAGCACGAACTGCAGGGGTCAAAGAGTCAACTCTGGCGTCCTGCTTCATAACCAGAGCAGACAGTGTCAAAGAAAACAATCGTAGAGCTGTTTTGTTCAGTAGGAAACAGAGAACAGAGAGAGGGGATTATTTTCTAAAATAGCTTTGTGTTTGTCTTAGACAGACACTGGCCAGTGTCACACAGGGCTGACCCTACTTTACACACACTCGCTCCGATACTTCGGTGATGGACACACACAAATGCAGAAAAAAAAAGTCTTGAAAACAACTTGTGAATACATTCGGCCCACATTCGCTCGTATGAGAGCAGACACATCTTAGCCACACACATAGGAAGCAGCGATAACGCAACATACATGGGAAGCTGCATTGGTGTGTGTCAGTGTGTGTGTTTGTGTGTGTGCAGAAGTATGTGAATGATCTAAGACCAGGCATTAGTGTTTCTGATAAAGCGAGGGACTTAAAGTGGTTTAAGGAAGGATAGAGCTCCCAAATGTGTGTGTGTGTGTGTGTGTGTTTTTATATGTGTGTTGGGGTTGGGGTCAGGTGCCTGGCGATTTTGTGTACATCTGCTTACTCTCTGCCTTGTCGCCGCGGCGATGACATCATGGCACACGACTGCCGAACAACGGAAAGAATTCTCCCCATCCCCTTCACAGAAAAGGAGAAGAAGAGGTGGGGAGATAGGAGTGACAGAAGAGGAGAGGAGAAAGAGATGAGAATGGCTGAGTGGGTGAGAGATACTTCTGAAGAAAAGATGGGAGGTAAAGAGTGGGAGGCTGAAAGTGAGTGGGAGGTGAGATGACAACAACCTGTAAAGTTTTAAATAACCTGTAAAGAGTTGTGCTCTTCAGCTTTACTACACAACGCCGTAACTGCCTGATGCAAACGTTTTTATTCAGGAAGCTTGAAAGAAGGCGCATCCTTTTTTTTTACTTGAAATAACATGCAGGCAGTTACAAGCAAATTGAGCAATTTGATAGCTTTTTAATTTGCTCTTTTTTATGTTGCTACTTGCTGTCATTCTGCTACATCGGCCCAGTCTCCCATCAAAGAAAGACTTCAGACTCACCTGGGTTATCTGGTTAAATAAGGCTCAAGTGTAATTCATTAAAAGTAGACATACATGGACTCTAAGCGTCATTTAAATGATCAGTGTGGGTACAGAATTGTGAGAAAACTGTGTAAAATACACCAAAAGACTAGCAGTGACAAAGATGTAGGAATAAGTTGATACTATCCTTGTTCAAGAATTCATTATTAATCTGTTCATTTTCGTAAACCTTCCGATTTTCCACTTTGTTCTCTATTTTGCTGTACAAAGACTCGAGAGGAGAGTTGCAGATCTGAGGCTGTAAACCCACTGGGACCCTGTTCTCTTACATTCCTGGCTTCATTGTCTGGGTGATTTTCAGCGGTAATCACCAAGTGCCAGCAGTGCTTCACACAACGCGTTGTAGGAGTTATCTGACGGCAGAATTATGTAAAGATTTATCAAAAGAGCATAGCACTTAGAACCGTTTCTTACTGATTACATTGCAGCAGCAGTAGCCTCGGCAAGCACTTGTCATAAGCACGTGTTTAGCTGTGCGCACTGAGTAGGCCAAGCAGAGTGTTTCAAGTGTGTGTGTCTGACAGCAATGAGGGGAAAGTCACAGAGAGGCCCAGAATGAGACAAGTGCATCTGGAATAAATATCATTTTATCACCAGCAGTTTATAAGCGGCGTGTGCTGGCAGGTAACTCTCAGATATGGTATAAAACTAGACGCACTGTTAGCTTTAACAAGACTAATGTTCCATTAGCCTCTCAGCATGCATGTGACTCAGAGTGTGCACTGGTGTTTGTATGAAAAATAAGAAGAAAGGGCTCCAATATATTCAAGTCTTGTGGAAAGGGAGGGGAAAAGTACATTTGTACATCAAGTCTGTAAAAGACATCCTTTCTTCTAATTGTGTATAAACTTTTTAACAAAATTGTGCTAATTATCTGTTACTGGCATAAACAGAGCTGCATGTCGGCCACCATTATTGCTCTTTAAGTCCCATCGTAAGTGTATTTAAATCAGAGTATTAATGTAAATGGCTATTTATTTTTCTGTTTGAAATTCTTTGGAAAGATTTTTTATAAATGAAATAACTTTCACTTCCCCCTACATCTGCAAATAGGGATATCCTTAGCTAATAAGAATTAGGGATTAATAATCAGTATTATTAATCTGCTGATTTGTGTCTCATCCCACTTAGGCTCTGCTGGCAAGGATTGTTGAAGTTCAGGGGGATGAAAGAGATTTGAACTCTTAGTTTCATCAGTCAGGATCACCAATAAAAAGAATAACTGTTGTCTTCATGGGGTCTGAACACATAATCTGTCTTCATTTAGATGTTCTCATCACTGCATTCCTTCCAGTACATCTGACTCTGTGTTTGTTTGTGTACCAAGAAGAGAACAAGAGTGTATCTGTGTGTTGAGTGAGGAAGGAAAGTGAACAAAAACAGAAAAAAGAAACGGTAATTCAAAATGTGTGCTTGTCTCCATCATTGTGGATTTCTGGGTCCATCTGGATCGCATATTGAGGTGTGCATGTGTGGGGACTCATGAGTGAGAGCTTTATGACCACCTCCGCCAAATATGCTGTTTGTCCTTCACGCGGAGCCAAAAAAGTCATCATCCTCCAAGGGATGGACTGTAAAGGTGCCCTGTGATATGTAGCTCGACTTGGAGCTGCCATATCCTCCAACACTCAGTCATCGGTTGTGCTCTGTGTCCTGGGGGGCCTCCGTTGGTAGGCACTCACCACTGCCGTCCGGAAGCAGACTGCTAATCTTACCACAACAATCTGGCCCCTGTCAATGTTGTTCGTGTGTTTTTTTACACCTGCAATTATCTGCTTTAATCGTCGTAGTCTACATTATAGAACAGGGAAAAGTCATCTGAGTGATGCAAACTGTAAAGACACATCAACTAGATTTAGGGAAACAAAGAAAGGAAGAAGTTTGGTGTCTGTCATGCTGCTGTACTACTTCAAATTTATGTTGAATGCATGTGTGTGTGTCTGTGTGTTGCCAATATTTGACCCTTGTGGGATTGTGTAAATGTGTAGTGATTTAGATTTCCAGTAAAGTGGAAATGGGTGTGAGCTCAGCTCAATCTTTGGCTGATAGTTTGAATTGGATGTGGCTTGTTGCTTCCTGACCATGAGGAATGTCATCCCTCACTCAGATTCTCCACTGAGCGATAGAGACAAGAGTGCTGGAAATAGAGACTGGAGAGCAGCATGGAAACATAGTTTAAATGTTTATGTATTCATTAAGTGACACGTGACCCATTTCTATCTGTTAATGCAAGAAAATACCTCATTCAAATGTAGTAGTACTCCCTGATTAATATTTACTCCACATATTCTTTAACAGAATTAAAAGTCCATTTAAGGACCATTCATCAATCTCACAATGCGTTAACATGGAGTCCAAACTTCAGTAAGAAGTGTTTTATAGGACAAAAAAAAAGGAAAAAAACATTATTAAAGAATTTCATTAGTTGGTTCTGTTATTACAGCCACGGATCAGTGACATTGTGTGTGGGTTGTGTGTTTGTTTTTGCCATTTGACCCATTTTCAATTTTGAAAATACACTTTTTGATTTTCAGTTTAAAACCCTGAGGTTGCAGGATAATGTTGAACTTCATGTTTCATATATTTCTTTTAGCTACACGATCCACCATGATCATCGATCATCAATCAAAGTGTCTTCATTTTCCATGTGCCTTTTTTTTTTTGTGCAGGCAAGAAGCACTGCTGGCTGCCATTAGCGAGAAAGACGCCAACATTGCCCTGCTGGAGCTCTCCTCATCCAAAAAGAAGAAAACCCAGGAAGAGGTGGCAACTCTGAAGCGGGAGAAGGACAGCCTGGTCCAGCAGCTCAAACAGCAGGTATAACGTAAAGCTCAAACACTGATATCAGCCGGAGGATCAGGAGAGGCCTGTGATCTGGTGTTTGGATAAGCGAAGGGGGGTGGAGATGACGAGTGGCAGAAGAGTTGGTAAAGTGATGTACACACAGCGGAACGGCAGAGGTGAGGTGAGGAATGAAGGAGCCAGAATTGGGAAAGGGTAAATAAAAAGGGGGGGAACACAGGTGAGGTGGCAGTGATGAGGGGAGCAAAGAAAACATGGCAGACCAAGTCCAGATGTTACCACAGGCTTCCAACCACAAAGAGTAAATTTAGGATTACCTTCCAGTCCTACACTCACCACACACACGCAGAGTTCTGATCTTTTACAAATCTCTGCAGGCGAGACTTTCTTATAAATTTGTCGTTATGAGAGTATTCTCGCACACTAACACGCGCGCAAAACATTACATGTTGTTCCCGTGGGGTATGTAGGTGTAAACAGAGTTCATACACACACTGTTATGCACACACTCACCCAGGCCAAAAACAAGGATATAAACATGACCAAATGCCTCTGTGGTTTCACACAGAGGTCTATTCACACACACCCTCACACAGAGAAACACACTCACACAAGCAGTTAAAGTTCTCTTGGGTCTAGTGAAATAACCAACTGCTTACTGGATGAGACTACTGGGAATGTGGTGAATTACTTCCTCACTACTGTCCCTGTTGTGCTCACTTTCATCACCCGTACACGTGCGCTGGTGCATTTATTTACTTGTTTTCTCAAAGAGATGTTAATTTGGTGCAGTGCCTTAACTCAGCTTGAATTCAGATCGCTCCTACTCTTGAAAGGCTAAACAGAACATGGGGCTAAGACCAAATGTGGAACTCTGTGCAGGGCAAATTCTCTGTTGGTCTCTCTACCTTTCCTTTCCTTGAGGTGTTACCATTGTTTCAAACCAAGCGGCTGTTTGATTATCTTTTTTGTCAGTATCAAATCATTCCTTTGTGCAAAATGCATTATTAGCTTTTCGGTAACAACTTTCAGTTGTTGAATACTGACAATTCAGAAGAAATTTCAGGAAATTGAGAATTTAGTGCCAAAGGGTGTGTGAAGTGGTATTAAAGTGAGAGGCGGGATGTATTGCAGGCTTGCTGTGTCCGGCAAAATCGTTACAACATCCTCCTCTTCCTCTCACTTCCTTCCTCATCCCTCTGTCTCATCTCTGTTCTGTTTGAAGTCATTTATGACACCTCAGGGCCTCAAAGGTGGTTACATAGGGCGTGAGCTGAACTGCTCACACGCTCAGTCTGTGTTGTAATTTTCAGTCCCCCAGGGATGAAACACCCTTGAGACCCCCTGGTTTTCCTGTGTCAGGGAGAGTTATAAATTCCCTCCCTTTGCTGCTCGTAGCCAGCCCGACATTAGATGAATGTGTAGTTATAATGACCTCAATGATTTGCTGAAAGCAGAGGAGGTGTAAATAGAAAGCACTATTTAGGGAGCCCTCTTTGGCTCCACATCCCACCTGCAGCGTCACAGACGTGGTTCCTCTGTGCATGTGTTACAGTTCCTGAAATAGTTTTCTGAAGTTGAGTATTTTTGACAACCTCCATTTGTCAGTTCAGAGGTCAGATGAATTCTTTTGTAGAAGTGCTCAAATCCTGCATCACGTCTGGTCTGAATTTAGGATCAGGCTCCACAATTACCTGCATCACATTTTAAAACCACTTCTACAACCCTGGTGCTACCAGATAGTGTTACCAGAGAAAGACAGGTGAAATTAATGCAGTAATTAGATTTAACAAGTCGTCTTTAAAACTTCTTTAAAATCATGCAGATAGAATGTCAACCTTCCGTGGATTGATTTACTGTATTGGACTCTTAACGTCTCATTTTTGACAAATGTTTGACATTTAAAGTCTCCACAAGCCTGAGGTAACTATTGACTTGGTGTTTAGTCATATTTGTTCATACCAAAGTGCTTGGTGTTTTTTCTTGCTACAGCTTTCCTTTCTACACTTTTCTGTAAAAACTCGAGCTGAGAGTCGTGGAGGTCTCATTTAATTTTCTGGTTAGGTGATGGCCTTGTAATTTTGTGGATTCATTCATCTTGAAAATTACACTTTGCCTTAGGAATAAATTTAACGTTGGTTTATTGTCAGTGTAGTTAAATGTAACATTTTCTGAGTTTCAGCAGACAATGCACAAAAGTTATTATTTTATTTAGTTGTGAGTTGATGAGAAACGCAACAATAGAGCAGAGAAAGAAGAATAAAAATAAAATCCTGAAGACTTGCAAATTTGCTTGGAATTAAGATATCCTGGTCATATTGGTCATGAAGGCTTTACATGTATAATAATCCTGACTGTTAAAAGAAGCAGAGCATAAAAACTGATAAAATCTGATTTTGGTGAGGTTCTCATTCAGTAGAAGTGAAGAAATAGCTTCAAATCCCTGTGGGGGGGGTTTATAAAGGCAGTGTATGGCATGCTAAATTATTTTTCAAAAGGAAATTGAGTTTACACTATGGTTCTTTCCTTTTTAGCCAAGTGTTCAGCTAAGAAGGAAAGAGAGCAACTTTTAGTCTGAACAACCGAAACAGCTTTGTAGAAAAGGAATGATTAGCATTTGTGGCACATGTACCACACAGGCACAAAGACACCTGTGTTAAGTATGGAACATCCTGGCCATGAAAACACAGCCTGTATGTTGACCTTTAACCCCTAAAGCAGAAGGTTTTACATCAAGTTGGCCATCTCCTCTGTCATTCTCACAGTCCAAATTTTTTTTCCCCTCAGAAAGTTAGAGACAGACACTGAGGGAAAGAGAAGCAAGGGAGTAAAAATTGTGATCAAGTTTAAGGAAAAAAGAGTAATGGTTATATATTTTTAAATGGAACAGGAGGAAAGCGATTGTGAGAAAAATACCACCATCTGTTCCAGCAAGAAACAGATGTTTAACAACTACAACCTTCTGGCTGCCTGCCTCCTACACCTGTGAGGCTTCAAAACGTGGACTGTGCTTTTCGATGGCGCTCTGACTAAATGAAGCTGCAAGCTTTCCATTTTCAAACTCTGCAAGAAAAGTTCAACTCTGTGAAGCAAAACTTGACTGAGCCACTACCAGTCTTTAAAATATTCAAATAATTGCACAGATTAATATTGTGACCTCTTCAGTTTAGAGGCATTCAGAACCGAGGTCGTCATTTCATGCAAAAAAAAAGTCTAACATTAGTCATTTAACTGGAAACTGAGATGGATTTTTTTTCCTCTTCTTTGCACAAAAAACTGTTCATCTTGTTTTTTCATGGTTACCATTCTTTTACAGCCAAATGATAAAATATGGATCTAATCTAATTCATTGCTCGACAGACTTATGATTGAATATTTCCACACACCACTCAGCTCAGATTTGCGTCATTATCATTTGTAACTTTTCACTTATCGACAGTTGTCTTTTCTTGATGGAAATGAGGAAAAGTGATGAATTTGGTTATCAGGATTGGATAGCTCCTGCACCATCGTGACTCAAGCTACGTTCTGCTATTGATAATTGTACTGATATCTACAAAGGTTCCTTTTTTACCACAATACAAAGTGATAATCTAATCTAATATTCCCCAGAGCCTTATCACAAAGAAATAATTTTCTTCAAAGCATGAGTCAGCATTCCCTGCCCATTCCTCTCTCTTAATTTGCTTCTCATTCTGTCCATTGTCAGCAGGTTACAGCAGAGCTGGAGGTTGGAGGGTGGGGTGGAGGCAAGACGAAGACGAAGGGAGGGATAAGGGAGGGGGAGTGAAATAATGGTGTGATGATTAGATTAAGCGAGAAAGAGAGTTGGCACAGAAACAAGGGAGCTGAGGTCAGCATTCCTGATAATTAGAGAGACGATGTAAAGAAAGACCAGAGAGGAAAATCAGGACATCTCTTCTTCTCTGTTAGTTTTTTGTTTTTGTTTTTCCTGCTCTTGCTTTTTTAAGGGTTTTTTGGGCATTTAGTTCTCAGGATTGCTGTAATAAAATGTTTTGCTGAAGAAGGAGGAAGAATTAGTCCTCGAGCTAAGAATCTTTTTCAGTGCTTCCTTACAGCCACTTAGTCAGCTCTTTTAGATCTAGAGTTGTAAGGTTTATTACTAGCACGACTGCTTTGTTGGACTTACTCCACAGAAATGTTACATGCAATTCTGGAGTGGTTGATACTCAACAAAATATAAAAAACATTATTCTGCTGTTTAATCCTATATATTTTTTGTATGTTAAATTGAATGTTAAATTCATTCAGTTAATGATTTCTTCTGATGTAAACATCTTAATGGAAAGTTTTTCATTTTTGTTCAATTTTTTTTACTTTGTCAATTGTCACAGGCAGAGACTTCTTTTTCATCAAAGCAATCAATATTTTTTATTATTTCTAACGATGGCATTTCATGCCTATTTCTTGACTTTATTTGGCTCTCACTTTTCCACCACAAACTCTTTATTAGTTTTAAGGCTGAAATGTGCCCGGGTCACTCCAAAATGCTGGTAAAAAGAAGGGTCACATCTCACTGGGTTCTGTGAAAGGCACAATGTTGGAGGCCGTGCTGGAACAGAAAAACCTGTGGTCAAAGATTTCCACACAGTAAACCCATTAGACAAAAGAAACCATCAAGCTGGATAGAAAAGATGGGAATAGGAGGTGGAAAAGGAAAACTTTACAAAACTGAAGGCACACTTTAGATTAAGGATGAAGAGGACAGGAGAGAAAGAAATGTTAGAAAAGCCTGAATCAGAGATGGTATTGTTAAAGGGAGACAGAAAGCGGGAAAAGGGAGGAACTAGATAAGGAGAAAAAGAGAATGGGACTAAGACAGAAGGACTAGAAAATTTCGATCAGAATCTATTGTTTATTTTCCTTTGTAGATTATGGTGCAAGGATATTTGTTTATTCTCCCACCATGTATATTATCTATAACAATAAGCTATTCAATGGGTGGCAGAGCTGATTCAGAAAACATTTAGAGAGAAAGAAGTCAAGGCAGAGAGGAGGCCAGTAGCACATGTTTCTCTGTTTATAAAGCTGGGCAAATAAAGAATAAGGCTCATGATCTTAAAGTCGTGGGATTATGCTCATGAGCAGCTTTGTACTTTATTACCGCTGCAGTCTACTTACTTAACATGCAAGTTGTTCTGATCCAGCTTTTAGTTACATTAATAGTTTTTTTTCTTTTGGATTGTCATGGTAATTGGTTTATGATTAGACTATATCTCTACAGCTTTTAAAAGACTAACACGGTGCATATCATTTCTTTAAAAAAATCCATTACTGCATTGCAGTTGTTGCTGCAGTTTGCTGTTTGACGTAGGTTGCTGTAACAGTGACATCTTAAAACGTGATGTCAGCAACCTCATTTGATCACCGTTTAGTGAATTCCGTTGGATGACATCACAGCACTGTACAGTGTTGTCCACGTGTAGTAATCTGACATCATCTGCAGTCCTTTTTCCCTTCACAAAGTGCATCCTTTCCATTTTTAGGACAGCATGACTAAGATGTACTATTTTTCTGTTTTATTGCTGATGTTTTGTCTTTTGTCCTCTATGATTTAACTTTGAGATTTAATTTTGAGCCTTGATGGGGTGGAGGGAGGAGATCCAGAAACCCAACCCCCAGCAGTCATGCATTAAATGAACTAAAGCGACATTTAAGACCAGGAAACTAAGTGAAAGGAGGGTGATGTCATTATTAGAAGGCTAGCTAGAAGACAAAGTGAGACAGCTTTAATCTATGGAAAATTCTATAAATTATTATTTATCCTCTTATGTTTTCAGAGGAGGTTTCCGCTTTCCCTGGGCCTATTTACTGAATGTAAAAATAGAGATAATTAGCTCATTTCAGCTGTAGCAAATGGACAGCTTTGCTTCTGCGTGCGGTTAGAATGACGAAGGATGTTGAAGGGAGCTGTGGAAGTGTCAAGTGAGGACAAATAAACCTCACTTAGCTGATGTGTGTTCTGGTCTACAGGTGCGCTCTCTGTTAATTTCTTGAGCTGAGATGTTTGCTGACATTTTTTTCAATGTATTTGTCTTTGTAAAAGGAGGAAATTCTTAATGTTTGCACTTGTCAAGACAGGATATCTCTCATTTGTTTTGTTTTTTTCTTTCCAGCACCAATACTCGCACACAAAGTGTTCCAACTGGGGTATTTCGTATAATCTTTTCACAGAGCTTTCAGCCAAATATGTATTATATTTCACCTTTTTCAGTTTGTGTTGAACAGACACACACTTAAACCCAGGTCTGGTCTCCTTAAGCCCATGCTCCTTGCAGAGCTCAGCGAGAGGCTGAAAGGAGATTTAGATTGTACAAGACCGACAGATTAGGATTCACACTCTCCCCTGCTTTTTATCTCTAACTCCTCCACCCATAACAGACCTACTGTAAAGCCTAAAGAATAACTAAAACGTGTGAAACACATGAGGCGCCAAGACAAGGATGAAAGATAGAAAGAGGGAATAGTAAGAAAGTAATCATAAAAGAAAGATTGATGGGTTGAGAAAGAAAAATATAGGTGAAAAGGATAGAAATGGGAAAAAGATTGTATATTCATTTTTAGTTGATTCAGTTGGTGTGAATGTGTGTGTATGAGGTGATTAACAGTGTGTCTACGATCTAATATTAGTTTTATGAACCGCTCTCCAAGTGGCAACTCTGTTATTTTTTGCAGCAGTTAACAAGTCACACAATAGGCAAGAGGCACACTGTAGGTGTAAGTGTTAGTGTTAGTTTTTTGTGTGTTCGTACACACACAGATTTTTGTATTTAGAAAAGTGCAGCATGCAAAAATTGAATAGTTTAAACTCTAAAGCAGATGGATAGTTCAAGCCTGTGCTCCAACCGTCTATTGTTTGCTGTTTGTCTCCATTCACCAGATGAATGTTGGTGGAGATGAAGACCATGACAGCCAATCAAAACACTCTTTTTCTGTTTAAATGACTTCTAAAGCTATTTAATTCTCAGCTTCTTACGCCAAACTTCACTTATCGCTTTGTTACGAACCCTCAAACATTGTCAAAATGATGAGTGTTGTGAGATTTTTCTTAGTCTCCAATTTGAAAGGAAGTGAGAGGTTTTATTGTCTGTTTTTTCCGCTGTAGACACAGAACAGGATGAAGCTAATGGCCGACAACTACGAGGACGACCATCTGAAGGTGGCATCTCCAAACTCGGAGCAGGCCAACAACCACAAACCCTCCCCAGATCAGGTGAGGAGTCAGCCGAGGGGACAGTAAGCCTATTTTATTCATTAACATTGAATTGAACAGAGTCACATTATATGATGTTGTTTGCTTATTTCTCTGTTAATATCTTGTTCTGTATCTATATGAACAGTCAGTATTTTAACCAACGACAGCCTGCGCTTTGCTCCTAATATTTGACTCAAACTAACTTCCTGCTTTTCTCTGACGCTGCGACTGGACTGAACTAACCGATAGGACGATGAGGAGGGCATTTGGGCCTAGCCAAACACAAACCTTCTTTCTCACCAATTTGTACAGAAGGGTGAGCGTACTCTTTATGTGGGTCCGGTCACGTTTGGATGTCCTCGTCAAGTCATTTGTCTTTTCTGACTTTCGTTTCATCCATCAGCATCTGATCTCACTCTGGTTTCTGTCTTTTCACATTATTGATGGTTTCTGTTTTTCATTTCCTTACTGTACTTTCATCAATTTTTTCAATGTTGAAGCTCTTTTTTTTGCTCCGTCCTCTCCATCATTTATCGAGTGGCTATAAATTCAGGTTATGAATTGCGTTCTTCATTTGATCGTTTTAATTTAGATATAATTTCTTCCAGTCCATAATTCTAACAACTCTTTTGCTTTTCCGTCCTTTATTAACACTTTTGTGACTCCTTACGGTTTTTGTTTGATGTTTAGATTTTCTCATTACAATCACACCATAATTCTATCTATCCTTAATGTTTCTCAGATTATTGATGGCAGCTGTCTGACAATCTTCAAGTCAAACAAGAACAAAAAAAACACGGCCACTACAAATCCAGCATGACACTGAATAAAATAATCTTCTTAAAGAAATCATAACCCACCATTTAGATTTAATCATATTTTTCAGTGCTACATTTTTGTTGGAGTTTTGGAATATGTGGCCAAATTTTTACTCCTCTAAAATAATTATGTGAAACACATTGAATTTTTACAGATTTGTAAACAACTACTTGGTTTTAAGTATTTAAAGTACAAGTCTCCCATTATGAAATTATATTGTGGTTTGCTGAGCGAGTAACACACAGGCAGGACTGCATATGAGTTGCACATTCTGCTTTTAGTGCGGCTCAGTTCCTCCAGAGGGATTTCCCATCGGCATGCTAAAAGCCCAAAGGTTCACTGTTGGATCTAAGTTTGACCCCTTCTTATTAATTAGAGGTAGCACCTTCCTGCTAAGAGAGGCAGGCCAGCCAGCATGCGCACAGCCCATATATGCAATTTCTTTTCCTTTCTGCGTCGTTGCGTGTGCACACATAACTTCCTCTTGGTGTGTAAGGTGGGTAATTTGCCATAGTACATTTAATCCAAACACTGAGTGATTGTGTGTCGTTCTATGAGGGAATTCTGTAATGCAGTTGGAGAATGAAATGCTTCAGAGAAAACTGCTGCTGAGAAACACGGGAGAGCAGTTTCAACACACACCAACCATTGTTAGGAGCATTTTATGATATTTTTTATTTTTGTAAAACAGTGAAGTTCAGTGTCCTGGTTGGGGGAGTTTGAATCATGCAGAATTGCTTGACATTAAGATTACTGATCGGCAATCACTCCCATGTTGAATAATTCATGCTGTATTTGTAGACTTTAAACAGCTCCGACTCAAACTGATAAGAGTAAATCTGATACATGCGACATTTTCAAGTAGGATGCTGCCCCCTGGGAGAAAGGGGTGGTGGACTGGTCTTAGACAGAACTTGTCCCTGTGAGCATGCCAATAGTTTTACCGTGCAAACCTGCTACTTTTGGTGTAAAATTAGCATTAGATTAAAACCAAAAGAGCCATATTGTAACCTGATATACTTTAATACAAGTTAGTTTTTTGTCATAAAACTAACTTTTTCAGATATTTTGGTTTATTCTTCCTCATTCTCGAGTTGTCTCCATTAGGACGATCACTCCTGTAGGTCTGACTCTACATTTTATGACTCCACTAAGATGCTATTCCTTGAGAAATATCTGTATTTCTGTCTCTCTGCTTGAATCTCAAAGGACAAAATGTCCAGATTTGACCATATAATGGTGCTGTTGAAGTTTTTTTTTTTCCTTAAACCTGGAGGCCGGTCAGCAAGTCTCGCAGAATTTCTCTCCTCGGAGTTCTTTCATAGTACAATAAGAATTTGGTAGAGACACATGAGAGGCTAATAAAGCCATATGAGCACACACTGACTCACAGTGCTGTATGAAGTGATGTTTCCTCAGGGATTGTTTCACAGTACAGTAAGACACTGGAAATCACTGCAGACTCATTAACCACACACACTGTATTTGTTGACTATTGCAGCCTATAGATGTATCACGTTGTATACTGAAGAAAAATGTCTAAATTCTAAGTGTTGAAAAGACTTTCAGAGGTTTTAGCTCATATTTCATGCTATTGTTTCTCCATCTCATTTTTCAGAGGGACAGATCTCGGAAAAGAAACGAGTGTCGTTATCTCTGTCCAGATGTCTTCCTTATATCACCAATCATTCCCGCTGTTTTTTCTGCCTGTTTGTCATTTGTCTTCTATTTGATCCTCAGAGCTTTGCCATAGGTCTGGAAAGTGTGGACAGGGTTTCTTTTTCAGTCTTATTGACAGAACAGTATGAATTAGAAAGTGTGAAAGAACAGCTGCTGCACATATGTCCAGCTTATTTTTGGGCAGAAAAGCCAAATCTTGTCTTGAGAAATGTCTTCATGTACTACTAAGTTACTACAACAGGGATGTTTTGAAACACAGAATGTTTTGTACTCTTCAACCCTTTAATTCATCAATTAATCCAGTGGATTTCCACCAGCCTCCCTCTCCCCGTTAAGGGAAAATGGTCACCATACATTCCCAGCAGGTTCTAATAAGAAAATACAATGGCTGGAATTATTTAAAGATTTCATAAGTAGATCGGTATGCCTCATTGCAGTTTGTTCGTAGTTACGTGCATTTGTACATGTTTGTGAGCGGAAGAAAAAAGCAGTTGGGAACCAGGAACCTCTTATGCCCACTAGAGATAGCATGAAACATAGTATTGCAATTGTTGGTGAAAACATGTGTTTTTCACAATAAATAAGGTTACTGTATTTCACATCTGTAACTCGTGAGAAAAAATACACCACTGATTTGACCAATCCCAGTTTGATCGATCAGATAGTTTAAATGGAATACAGCGTCAGCTATAGTTTGGCCTATTCATTACTCAATGATTTAGAGCATCTGTGGTCTGTGTTCACTTTTTCTTAGATGTTCGTACAAAGCGCAGCTTCTCTAAATAAGGAACAAATGTTTTATGTGGAACGGAAGGACTGACCCACAATAGTCACATTACTTAATGTCAGGTTTGTGTAAAAGTAAAAATGCTCATCTGAATCAGCAGTCTGTGAAATCCACATGCTGCACAATAAACGTCAGCAGAGGCAGCGTAATTATGTGGCGCTTATATGTAAACTCTGAATGGAGCGGCAGGTTAATGAGCAGAGATGGAGTTCAGAGACAGAATGATGGTACTGTGCTGAGTGAGAGGATCTAAACACAGCACATGCACATCTGAAGTGTATGTGCGTAGTGAGTGACGATGAACACAGAATGCGGGGTGTGGACAGACGCTGCCGGGACTCACAGACGCACACTAACAGCCCTCTTAACATGCTTCCTCTACACTTAAATCCTGGTTTTCCCCAAGGATTAAGAATAGTGTGGTCTGTATGTCTTATCAGTGAAAGTGTGCACATCTCATGGGGAGGTCCTGTCTCTTAGCCCTCAATGCATGATTTTTTTTCTCTTCTCTCATCCTCGTTCCCACGCTTTTCCTGACACCTGAGAAAAGAAAGAAATACACAGACATACACCATGAAAACAATGTTGAATCCATCAAAATGAAACTTCTTTTACTTAACTGGGGTTTAAAAGAGGCCCATTTCAACTATACAATCTAGTTATAAAAGTCAAAATGTCACTAAGTGCTGTCCTATCAGCACTTGGTGGATTAGTTGTGTTGCTTTGATGCATTTTACAGTTAGTGGACAGTGCAGCACGTTTAAAGAATGCCCTCATACGCAGTATAATGCTGTGTTTGAAGCCATCTGTTATGCCCCCCTGCGGCCTCGCTGACCTTCCACTGGCTGTGCCCGTGTGTGTGGGTCATGCATGGGCTCAGTTGTTTTCATTTGCTCCTCGGACACAGGTGTTAAATTGAACATGAGGTGTGTTTTGCGTGGATTACAGACAGGTCACCAGTACTGCTGCTTGTTGCTAAAGGTGTGTGTGTGGCTTTTGATTTGTCTTTGTCATGTCACATTTGTGGGCAGAACTCCAGAGGCTGTAAATTATACGGCCCTCGTCATGTTTCCATTTACACTGTCATCTTTTTATCATGACTCCCTTGACTCATTCAGCTTTACATACGGTTCATGCTTTAAGGCTAAATGTGCATTCTGGCCTAGCTGAGAAGCTTTCCCAATTATATCTGCTACATCGTTTTAGATTTTGGCTTCTGGATCAGGCTTTTTTATAAATAAAACAAAATGAAAGGCTTTGTTGTGCAAACCATACTCTTAAAAGAGTCACTTGCTGGATATGGAAGGTCAGTGATACATAAAATAGTGAATGAATAATGAAGTTTGTGTTTTACTTCTTCTTTTCCAAACTGATGACTGTCTTTCAAAAGTCTGCTTATCCTTAGTGACACTCATTTTTGCTTGACTTTGTTTTCGTAACTCCTGCCTGTTCTGATCAATTCAGCTCATGACGTTTCAAAAGCTTTTGAACAGTCATGAGCTGAAATGTTTGTCTGCTCTGTTAAACGATTTCTTATTCCATCCCACAGATTATCTCTCCTCTCCTGGATCTCAATCAGAATCGCAATAAACTGAAGCTGTACATCAGTCACCTGACCTCACTGTGTCAAGAGCGAGACCCAATCATATTGCAGGACTTTGCCCCGCCCCCTGCTTATCACCGCTCTGACTCCGCCTCTTGGCATACGCAGCTGCACAGCATGACGCATGAACAGGTAAGAACATGGGAGTACATCTGGGGTCCGACCAACAGGGAGAAAAATAAAATGTAAACTTTGCTTCTATTAAAAATGTTTGGGAGATAGAGGAAAAGAAGCAAAAGTGCACCTTTTGTGAAGATATGCATTTTTCTTTACGACATAGGGGCTCTCTGTCACTCCTCATCCATTGTTTCTGAATCCAGCCTGAGCTCATGTGTTTCCATGCTTGTTTGACATCTGGATGTGATGGCATATGTGTGTGTGGCTGTGTGCAGGAGTACAGGGCATCCACTGGATGGCCCGGCTGGTTTTTGGTGCTCCGTGACACTTTAGTGAAAAGATTTACTCCAGCAGGTCACCTGACGACAGGGGCCTGGCTGTGCAACAAATCTGTGTTTTTTGTTCACTGATAGACTTCAAATAGAGCAAGAGTTCCATCACAGAGCAAGAAAAAGATATGTATTTATCTTTCTATCAAAAAATGTACATGAAAAAGAGGAGAAAGGGAAACAGGCCAACATGTAGGTGCATTTTCATGGTAACCACTTGTGCTTTTAGACATTCAGTACAAACACAACATTATTCATTTTTAAAAATGATGGCTGCCTATGGCCTCCTCTGTCTCTCTCTCCATATTGAAAACATATCAGGCAATACATGGTCCCTACATGTGGTATGCATTGAAAATTGTAACTGTAGACACACACACACTAGCAGTGCTCTGTGACAGAGTGTGTGGTTAGGGTACTAGTTTCCTACAGTATTCATGAAAGCCCTATTGTATGTCTTAATGCCAGGAAATGTCTCTGTTTAGCATGAGGGCTTCAGATACGGCACCGTATGGCTTGCCGTCACTTTGAATAAACGTTTAAGATAGAAAATTAAGCTGTCATCTAATTACTGTGTGCATAAAATGGTCTGGGTGACTTTCACGGACAGAAAATTATTAGACATATTTTTCATCATCAGCCTGTTTTCATGAAAAAAATGAAGACCTTATTCTGTGGTCTGGAGGCCAGAGTTCTATGTTTTCAAAAGAAAAACATTCCCTATTAAAGCTGATTATGTGGGTAGCCTTTAAAGCTCATCTAACAAGACTGAATGTAGCCTGCAATATTTTATTCCTATTCCTATTTTTGTTTATGAAATACATTCTTTTAATTATTGGAAGCAAACTGTGCTCATGGCCACATGCAAGTCAAATTTACAACATAGGGAAAAAATTCAATTACTTCCTAACAAGTTCACCACAAATGACTTACAGCGTGAGGAACTGTCTTTGATTTGCTGCAACAGTTTTTTATGCTTGTTTTCTTGCTTTTTACACATAAAATTCACTAAATTGTTCAAATCATCACAAGGGCCTTTGTTTTAGAAATATTTGTTTTTACTGTTTTTATGTTATTGTCACCCTAATTTGCCAAAACATTACTATGCTTCAACACAAGGTTTTTTTTTATATACAAAAAAATATTTTGTTGATAAGAGAACAAATTGGTTGAGGATTAAAGCCAGTTAAACCTAAATTCAAAATCAGTTAACATTACAGCTGCTACCAGACGATATGCATCCGCCTGTTTCTGATAGAGGTGTCCACCTGTCAGCCGATATCTTTAAAACTTTCTCATTTTTTACTGTCAGTTTGCAGCTCATAATGTCTGACACAAGACAAAAACACACATATCCATGATATTTGCTCAGAAGCAGCACACAAAACATCTGTGTAATTCACAGCCTTGTTAAAATAAAGTCCTGCCAACTTCCAGCTCCACTCAATTAAAAATATACTTATGTACAAATGGCACTAAATGCTTTTAATCAAAACCAAATAGCCTCCTGAGAAAAAGCCCGTTTTTACCATGTACATTAGTTCATCCCAACAGTTCCAACTCAGCACAGTTGAACTCCACACAAACACTGGATTACAATCAGTGTCGTAACAAGGATTAGCAGTAAAGTGGAGTCATGAGGTCATCGTTTCCTTATGAAATCAGGCCTATACCATGGCATCAGATAATGATAAACGCCAGAGCAGCTAATCATTTGCTCCGTGTTTACGGTTAACTCCTTTCAGTTTCTCTGACTTTAGGATGCCTTTAAATTTCCTGATTAGAGTAGATTAAACTGTTGTCCTCTGCATGATGAAGTAGGTCAGCAGCTGCCTTAAATGTGTTTTCAATGTGTGTTGAAACAGATACTGTATCAGAGATAGAGCAATGTTTTCAGATGGACATATATTTTATGGACAGAAGTAATACTGAGGTAAATATTGGACAAAAAACGTGTTTCATAGCAGCTGAGGTCCTCTAAACATTTTAGTTTAAAGCCAGTCTGTTTAAAGCCTTTGTAGATAGAACAATACCAAAGGCCTCTGTTGCCTCCAGATAAAAGTCCTACATAAGAAAGTATGAGGGGGGAAATCATTGAAGTTTAGAGCTCTCCTTTTTTCCCTTTAGACTGGTGCACTGTTTCCTGTTAAGACTTCATGTTTGTTTTAAATTTCATGCAGTTCTACAGGCCCTGATGTTCACTGGATCACAACTTTGTTCATTTTGGGGTTCCGTGTTTATCTGCCCTCCCTAAAGGTTAAGGTATTTTAGTCCAAAGCAAACACTCTTTATGGCAGAAAAATCCTGTTTATTTTTTGTTTATAGGGACGTTACATCTTTGGTTATGTGAGGCTTATTGTTGGGATAACAATAACATCTCTTTCCAGCGTTTTGAGATGATTGACGATCGATCGCTCAAAGTTAGGAGTAAACTGAGGAGGGAAGCTCTGTTTTTCCACATGCTTGTCTGACCTCTCAAAAAGCAGTGACATTACAAGACTGAGAACCATGCCAATTCCAGGCAAGAGCTTTCATTGTTGTAGCTGTAATCATGTCATACAACAACATGCACACAGAAAAAAAAAGAAACAGTCAATGGATGGTTTCCATTTCCACCGTTTTCTAACCTTGGATTGTGATGCTATTGTGTTTTGGAGATGTAGACAAATGGACCTATTTTAGGTTCTATGGTGAGACTGATAGACTCTGATAGAAATGAATAAGCAGTGAAAATATAAGAGTACTGGAAAATATAAAAACTAGACCACAATTTTATGATTTTCAAATTTCAAATGGTAACAAAATTGCTGAGGACAGCATTTAAGTGGTTTAAAGAACTGTATGCTCCCTGGGTGGCAAGTTTAGCTGGCTTTATTAGGAAAGAAAAATCTAGCTATACACTATGTCAAAAAAGGTGTAATTTGAGAGAAAGCTCGTTTTGCTCAATGTTATCTGGAACATCCGCCCACAGGATGAAGATATATCTTTTACTGTGAGGCTTTGGTTTTTAGGGGAAAACTGGCTCAGCTTTTCTATCCTTGTGTTCCTGGGTAGACTTCCTAAATCTATCTTTAGGTTTTGCCACCATTCTCTCAAGAGAGTGCTATATTTTTACCTCCCTCTGAGAGAGTGCAGTCCACCTAAGTGTCTCCATCCACTTTACCTTTCGCTCATACCTCCTCACCGCTCCACGTCGGTGCTTGTGTAGGAGCTACTGGGGTTTTAAAATACTCTGGCTATATATTTTTTTGGGATGTTTCCCTTAACAACATCACAATTTGCATCTTTCTGCTGCTCCCTCTCTCTGCGTCCAAACCCACTCAGAGCCAGGCAGTGCCACTTGGCGCCATGTGTTTTTTTTTTTCTTCTTCTTTTAAGCCCAACCCTGCCTACACACAATCACAGAGACACACTGCCAGTCTTTCATTCGGAGCCATGTTTCTCGTTTTCCTCCATCATGTGTCACCATCACCTTGGTTGACCCTCTTAATACACGCACACACCCTCCCTCCAGACCACCATGTCCCCATGTGCCAGCCTGGCTGCTCTGTCTTGTGGTGAGTGTGTGTGCCTATGTTTTACAAGCCTCTCCTTGGCTCTGTTAAAATGCCTGGCACTCTGTAAAGCCATTAGGATCACACTAAAATAGTATGTAAAACACACATGGACGCAGGCACAGACTCGCGCAGAATCGTATTTGCCGCACGTTAACTGGCGCCTCAGCGTGAGTGCGCGGCGATCCTGAAGGAGCTCAGCAGGCCTGTGTACCTGACCGCGTCCTTCTGCCATGTGCCACTCGGCTCCTGAGCGAAGCCTCCTCTCTGTCATGCTGCTGCAGTGAAAGCCTGGATCCCTCCCTTTTCATTTTAAATTTCATTTGTTTTTTTAGATGTGTTATAGGTTTTATGCTGAAATATTTTAATGAACTGGAGTGAATCAAAACACTTTTTCTAACTCGTAAAATCCAAACACTTTATTTTTTCTTCATTAGAATAACAAAGCTTTTGTTGCTGTTTTGTTATTATTGTAATTGTCGTTAATGAAACTTAAGATACAGTAATCATTAAAATAATTTATTTTAATTATCTAAAACTTGGTTTTGAGTGAAAGATATGAATTAATCTATATCTTTTTTAAACCACATTCTTCTGGATATTTTAAATATGTTTGATAACAGATACACTCATTGAAATGTAGAAAAGACATGGAAATATATGTTTGGGGTGTCTTATCCTGTGCACCGAAATGCACTGTCTGTGTGACGGGAATGAATGGAACATGCACAGTGTTTCCTAGGTATCAGATTTCTCAGCCTCTGAACAGATGGGTAGCAGAGCAGGCCTTCCACAGTGATCAATTTCAGCCCCTCATACTGCCTCTGTGTCTCACAAATAGAACAGCTGAGAGCAAAAACCCCACCTGGAAAATTAGTCTAAAAAGGGAAACTATCTCTGGGGTGCAATTGTAGGGTTTGAACTCATGGTCAACAGTTTAATAATTTATCTTTGGGGCTTCGGTTTTAAATGTTTAGGCTAACAAAGGGTTGTAATTGGCTTAATCAATAAATTGAATAATTTAATAGAATAGAATAGTAAATACTTTATTCTTCCCTGTGGGGGAAATTAGCATTCATACTAAAGTTTGTTTCCCTTTGATCAGCAAAGCAACATTGTTTGGATTTAAATCCAGAATAAGTCCCCATTTCACATGTACTCTCTCAGGAGTTCAGTTTTCAACAAAAAG